CTGAATAACTGTCGCATCCTATGCTTACTTAAAGACCAGGGGTGAAGAGGAGTAGTTAATAATCTGAGTAAATTGAGAATCTGATGTAATTATTAGTTTTTCAGTCTGCTCTCCAGCCAAGACTGGCCCACAAGGCACTGATGGAAGCTTATCCCAGTTTCTCTTACATGAAGAAACTTATGATAAAAGTTTCCTCCTTCAATGGATAGGATATTACCCCATCCTGGGTTACAGTAAAGCATCTCATCAGGCTTTCCTGACAGTTTGTGGCTCCCCACTTGCACTCCTGGGTGAAGAGGGGAACCATGAGTGTAACGTGTCTCACCAAAGGGTAGAGACATACATGTTGTGGCCTAATAATTAGCACACTCCACTCCAGAGCATAGGTCCCATTTCAAGACCTTAGTAAGACACATGATGGCCTGAGGAAAAGGCTACTTGATTCCATGTTTCAGGTTAAATTCCTCACCAGGTTATGTTGTGTTCTTGGGCAACACACTTTGCTCTTGTACTTCTCACAGTGTACATGGTTACCAGAAAACTTTAAGGGCGAACTAACTAATTGCATAAGGGAAGGAATTCTCAACTTGTTTCAAGGCAATGAAACCTGTGAGAGTCTTGTGGAAATGGGTCATTTAGGGTCCAGACTTGATAAACACACAGTCACCTTTGATAACTGTTCTACTCCTTCTCCAGTTTCAATCACTTCACCAGCTATCTCAGCACCTGAACAAACAAGATACACAATTATGATCAAGAAACTAGAAAGAAATTTCATGTATCTCCAGCTCTCTAAGGCTTGCTCCAGCTATAACTCTTTAATCCCCTCAATCATAACAAGTAATTTTCCAATCATTAGTAGCAATATTAATAAGGGGTGGATACCAACTTTGGAATGGGGTAGATACCAATTTTGGAATGGGGTGGGCACAAATATTGTTATGGGATGGTTACCAGTATTAGAATGAGGTGGGTGCCAATATTGGAATGGAGTGGGTACCAATGTTGGGATGGGGTGGGTACCAATATCAGGATGGGGTGGAGAAAGAGACAAAACTAAGAAAGGCAATTAACAGAAACTTAGTTACAGAAGAATTAAGTTATCAAGAGCCAAATAATAAGCAAGTGTCCCAGACAATTTAGTTCGGGAACTTTGTTACATACACAACACTGAGACTGAGATACATAGGGAAAGAAAATATGAGGAGAGACAACAAAGGTTTGATGTGATACCTGTAAATTAAGCAATAGACTACACTTTCTATCACTGAAAAGTTAAACTTTGACAAGATCACAAGCTGGAAGCAGTCAATTTACAAACTTTTTGGGTGCCATCCCAATGTCTCAACTTATAACAGGAAGTGTGATCTATTGCTTTTATAAAATAACTATGGGTTTACTACTGCAGTTACCCTTTCACCCCTAATATCTAGATCATGAAAATTCTCTTTACTGTCTGTGATACATTTTCTTTACATTTTGTTCTGAGAATGTGGTATTAGATCAAATGACAGTCTCCTAATTGATATGTTTTGCTGTTCTCAATACTTGACTGCTTGATATTGTATTAATGCTGTAAGGAGAAATTTTATCTTGGTCATTCCAGTAGTTAAAGGGAAAAACAATATGTTTTTAAGCAATAAGGGCATTCATAGTAACTCATTTATTCTACAATTATGAAACATACCTGGAATAAATGGTAGATTTGGTTTATCTTGATATTTTCCCAGACACATAAGTATGTCAGCAAAGTTGATACCACAGCTGTGGACAGCAATCCTCACCTTAAATAAAATAATTAACTACTTTACATCGGAATTGATGACATCTTCATAAACATTATTATTGTTTCAGTACTTATATATCATTTTCTTTTACTGTGGGGAGCCGGGTGGAGGGGAGGGGTGGAGGGGAGGGAGAGTGGTTATCCCTTTGGTAGAGAGAGATCTTAGTAAAATTAAGATTCTCCCTTCTTGCTATAATACAATTGCATACAATACATTCCTCAAGCAAAGAAATTATTCTGTCGTGTTGATAGGAATTTATTCAATATTGCAGAAAAGAAGCCTTCATACCTTCTCGTCACACTCAAATTATGCTCTTCAACTTGCCTGAAAAGGGAAAAGGATGTCTGCTGCCCTGCAAGCTAACTTTAGGGATAGCTGATGTTCCACCCTACCCTCCCTCCCTCAGCAAAAGAGACTTCTTTCAAAACTTCCTCAAATTCTTTTTCAAAACTCAACGTCACTAACGCATTAACTCCCTCATGAAAAAAGTTTCGGCCCCATTTTTCATCCTCCCTTCCCCTTTTAGGGGGAGGAATATAAAATGGAATAGCACATATCTTAGCAAGACGATCTAAACGTTAGGCTAGGTCTAACTATGATGACTGGAATAGCGCATATCTCAGCAAGACGATCTAAACGTTCGGCTAGGTCTAACTGTGATGACTGAGAATGCTTTCCCTAAGTCTAGTGCCACGTTTAAATGAAGTGGCCTTTGTTTTTTTGGGTGTCTGCAGAAAAATTCGAAAAACAAAACACAACATTTAAATTCCGCGACTTCGAGAATACGGCGAATCATGAGGTTACCTGAGAGGCCTTGAGCTTCTCCGCTGCAGGGATCTGCTCTACGACAAGAGGTTTACCAAGTTCCTTGCACAAAGCGGCACGATACATTCTTGGTTTACCGAAGGTAGGCTTTACAGAAATAATCTCAGCATTTCTTGACGATATGCTGCGCGCCACTGGTCTCAAAAGTCTCTCTGGAACAGTCCGAAAGGCCGCCATCTTGGATCTAGGCAACAGTCTCTCACAGAAAAACTGGCCGCCTTCCATTTGGGTAAGCTAGGACTAGGACACTCGTCGGTAATTTTGAGTTGTTTGTTATTCAATACTACTTATTTACGAAAAACAGCTCATTTAGAATTGTTTTCGGAAGAATTTAATAACTGGCTGTCGTATGCTTGGTTTATTACCGCAGGTTGACAATTTCACTTGCCTTACGTATTAAATTCAATTTGATAATAAAATCTTTAAAATTACCGCGTTTTGAGACTCCATAGAACAAACCCATGAGAAACAGGAATTTTCTAAAATTCAAAACTAAAATCAGAAATTTTTTTGTAACACAATCAAAATCTTCCAAACCCCCCCCTCCTCCCCAGGAGATGAATAGTGACTTCGCGCACGAACCTCAGTTCCTTTCTCCGTCTTTTTTCCCAATGTAGGCCACGTTGCCTGGGGTTAGCTTTTTAAGTTGCTTTTGGAGAGAAAATCCGACGTTCTCGTGTTGGGTATATTTGCCCTGACACAAACACTGCAACTTGTAAAAAAGCCAACTTTTATTGTCTCGGTTTCTTTCACGACGCAAGCAATTCTTGTCAAAGTCTCCTTTCTTGCGTCTCCCTTACTCTGAACATATCGTATTTTGAACGTTGTATGAATTATATATACACGGTTTATGACACTGAAATGAAGTATGAATTGATCGACGGTATCTTCGACGGCGAAAATTGTTTCCTCTATAGACATATTATTATCAAATAAGGATAATGGTGTCTTGATTGTCTGCTCAAATATATTATTGTAAATATTACAATATTTGCACGTTTTAAAAGTAAATATAGGCATCCAGACTGTCATTCTGTAAAATCACACATAATCTTTAAAAAGAACAATTCAAAGCCTTTCAAAGTTCTCAGGTAAATTTCAGTGGAAGTCTCTTTTATTCTGGAAGCAAATCGTCCATAGATTTCCCATCCATGAGTCGCTTTTCCATCTCAACGAGAAGCTTGACGCCATCGACGACTTTCTGAACAAGTTCCACCTCAGAGAACCCCAGACGGTCCAAGTTTGACACGTCAAATGTGCCGTCAGTAGAGGCGGTGTCCACTCCTCCAGTGCCACGCTTCTGAAGTCGCAGCTTATTCAAGATATCTCCAAAGCGTGCGTCTTTCGCTAACCATGGAAGCTTGACATGCACGCCAGCGCGCAGGCCGGTACCGAGATTGGAAGGACACGTGAGCACAAAGCCGAGATGTTCATTCCACATAAACTCTTTGCCTTTATTTTTCATAGCATCCTCGATCTCTTTAAGACTTTTACAAAAGCAAGTGAAGACTTCTCGCATGTTCCCGCCTTTTTGCATGGATATGACGCGAGTGTGATCTTCCTCGTTTACCCACACTAACACGGTCTTCTCATCATTATGCCAGATCCCGCGGGCATCGGGCCAATCGCGAGCCATCCTAGAAGACAGCAGCAAAGGTGAAACTGGCTTATCAAATAGGAAATGATCCTCTATTAACTGATCTTGCTCCTCTAGGGTCATTTTGTTCAGGGGGTAATACTTTCCTTGTAAATCTCCTTTCAGGGAATCCAACGCTTCCACCACGATCCTCTCAATCTCCCGTCGTTCTGCGCGGGTGCAGTGAGGTGGCAGTGTCAGACCCCGGATACTGCGTCCAGTCCTCACCCGGCAGGAGAGCACAAATTCCTCGTCCAGATCCTCGCCTCCAGTAAGATTGTCAGGATTCAGATCTGTCTTATGAAGGGCATCTTTGCTGTATCCATTATGGCGCCCCTCTATCACTGGGTCAAACAAATCTGCGAATACATCGTAAGTTTCTTCGTCGCCGGCCACACAGCCCACGGTCATGATGTACGGATGACCAGGGTTATCCACACCTGTTTGTATGGCTTGGTCTAGGGTATAACCAGAGGGTGTTTTGAGAACGCAGAGTCGGTCGTAAATTTCTTTTGTTAGACACCTGGACATCCAGTTGTTGTGCGTTGAGAGATCAGGGAAGTTACTTATCTTCTCCCTTTCATTTCCTTCACCCTCAACTTGGTCAGCAATGTCTCTGGCGCGTTTACCAGACATAAGCTCTTGATACAGGCTGGTTATAGGATTTCCAGCCTCGAGGCATTTCTCCATCTCAATTAACAGACGGACTCCATCCACAACACACTGCACCTGTTCCACTTCAGAAGATCCCAATCGGTCTGCGTTGGAAATGTCGTAAGTTCCTCCGACTGCTGCCGTGTCTACCCCGCCGACGCCACGCTTCTGAAGGCGAAGTTTCTCCAAGATGCTGACGAACTCTTGCTTTTGACTAAGAAGTGGGATTTTTAAGTGTACCCCTCCCCTCAGTCCTGTGCCAAGATTAGATGGGCATGTTAAAATGTAGCCCAGATGCACGTTCCACATAAAACCGTACCCCTTAGCCTTAATAGCGTCTTCAACTTTGTTCAGTCCAGTGCAGAAGCGCTCGAAAACACCCTTCATATTTCCGCTTTTCTCCATCGAAATGACTCTAGTGTGGTCTTCCTCGTTGACCCAGATAAGAAAGTTCTTTTTCTCATTGTGCCAGATCCCGCGGGCGTCTGGCCAATCCCGCGCCATTCGGGATGCAAGCAAAAGAGGAGACACCGGCTTGTCAAACAAGAAGTGGTCCGCTATGAGCTGCTCTTGTTCCTCATCTGTCATCTTTGCCAGTGGGTAATACTTCCCTTTGAATTCGCCATCGAGCGAATCCAAAGCTTCGGTAACGAGAGATTCCACTTTGCGTCGCTCAGCTCTTGTACAATGGGGTGGCAGACCTAAATTTTTAATGCTGCGCCCAGTCCTTACGCGACACGATAGGACGTACTTCTCATCAAGTTGTCCGCCAATCAGATTGGCAGGATTCAAGTCGGTTTTGTGGCGATCTGTTTTCTTGTAGCCGCCGTGTCGCTTCTCGATCACAGGGTCAAAAAGATCTGCAAAGACTTCATACGACTCCTCATCTCCGGCGACGCAACCGACCGTCATAATGAAGGGATGGCCAGGGTTATCAACACCCGTCTGAATCGCCACGTCCAAAGTAAATCCGCTCGGGGTTTTCTTGCCACACAGTCGCTCATAAATTTCAGGTGTAAGGCATTTTGCCATCCAGTTGTTATGTCGTGACAAGTCAGGGAAGTTGCCCAGAGGAGGGGCACTAAAAATTAATTGAAAGTAAGATCAGTCAAAGGTGAGGATATAACTTAGTGACAAGTCCTTACGAGATGATGCCGGGACAGCTCGATCGAAGCCATAATTCATTTCGGATGACATAAAAAATAATGGTAACAATCTGTGTCGCTGTGATTAAATTTAGTAGGAAGAACAAAAGTACAAACTCGAATTGCTTTCAGTTTGCAAACACAAGTTATTACAGCTAGGAAATGAATCGCAGTAACTTTTTTTGGAAGCAATACCGACAAAGTTTCGTCGCGGAGAACTCCAATCTTTTACTTTATGGGGAGGCACCCCACAGGATAATCGTTACCTGCTGTCGTTGGTAGCCTCAGCAGGCGACGTAGTTTTTGTTTGCGTTTCTGTAGATTTAGAAACTGGTCCTTCATCTAACAAAGGAAAACACGAAGTCAAGTGAGTCTAATTAGTTAGAGCGCTTTTCGATTGGGTGTCGTAAAACCATCACCCAAGTAATCACAACAGCCAATCAGAAGACAGGAAAATATCTTCAACAGCCAATCAGAACTCAAAGTAAAAACAAGTTAACTGGCCAGAGTGCGGGAAAACACGGGCGACTAAGTAGTGATTAGTTTTCGTTTTGCATCTGATTGGTTGAAAGAGTAGTGCGAGTTTCTAGACCAATCACAGAGCGAAGTTAAGTAAAGCTAATGCAGTCTCGGATTATTTTCAGTACTCAATTGAAAATTTCTCTTTAATTCTAAACCCTTCTTCAGTTTCAACGTTTGCTTG